AGCCCGATGTGGGGCTCGATCCCAGGACCCTGGGATCATGACCTGAGCCGAAGGCAGATGCTTAACGACTGAGCCACTCAGGCGCCCCAAAGGGAAAGACTTTCATATTAGTCCCAGTTGGAGAAAGAAGAGGAAGCCTAGAAGGAGCAGTTTGATTTTTCAAGTGCATTTTGGTTTCCTCCTTGCTATGTGGCGGAGATGCATGCTTTTTAATAGATGTTCGCCTGTAGTAGCCAGTCTCTTTACTTTACCTGATACTGTAAAGGATTCCTAAGCCTGGACTGACATCAGTTTGGTTGCTGTGGAAATGATGGGAATGTCATGAGCTGCTACCCTGACTTACTGTAGCATTAAGTGTAGGGAATAAGAAGTTGCTGTTGGGTTTGAAGTCTGTAAAGCAAATTCCTAGAAGGTTTTGGATTTATCCAAAGTTGCATATCCTGTAAATGACAGAGGTGGGACTAGAACCTAACTATTTGCACTCTCAATCAAATTTTCTTTCTCCTGCACCAAACTCCACTTTTCTGAAAAGGAATACGAATGGTTCATGTAGGGAAATGTTACACTGGGGCTTCAGTTATTATTTCTGATCACGTACTCGTTTAGGTGTTTTCCTCCCTTCTTTTCCCTACCTTCTTTATTAATTTTCCTTTTGGATCTGGTTCCGTGGCTGAATAGTTAGATATAAATGGCAGGTATTTATGCCATTTTGAGGAGAGAATAATGTCTAATGATGTAACCGTTTCTTTATATTATAGGCAGAAGGAGAACTGGAGGACAAATCTGTCTTTCCTCTTCCTCATTGGAATTTACAGAATATGTTAAAATCAGTTGTAATATGCAAATGAAAGCATTATGCAGTTAGACTACTTAGGTGCTTAATAAGAATTCAACACAATAATTAAATCACCAAGTTTAACCTCATTGTACTTCATTTTAATGTGAATATTTGATCTTCCTTATAATGGATGTCTGCATGTAAACTTTTATTTACTGGGGAGGTCGCAGTATAGGATATTAAAGAAGACATTCAACTAGAACTCGATTTGCCTTATGAGCTCCCAGGTTCCCATAGCAATTTTAGACAACACATGCTGTTTTACTGGAAGAGTAACTAGAGGATAGAGTCTGATCACTCTCTCCCTCCCCTGGTAAACCTTCTGTTTGTTTTGTGAATTTAGTAGCTAAAGGTGCATGATAAAACTTGCCATCTCTGTTAGATGCTTCTAAATCAGATATAATAAAATGGCTCCCAGGCTCCAGCAGCTCTTCTTTTTATTCCATTAAACATCGATTTTCTCGATGGTCATACGTCTGGTGTGTCACAAATCTTACTCCAAAAGCGCTAAAATCTATGGTGTACATTTTAAACTCCAAATGAAAAGGAGAACGGGACCTCCTCATAAGTGCAAATATTCTTCCAACAAATGCCAAAAAACAGAATTTTCGTACGAATTTATTTTCACTCCTCTGACCATCATATGATTTGCCTGGCAATATAAAACGATTCCCTGCAGTCCCTCCCATTTAATTATTGAAGCAGAAAAGTACATTAAATCTTAATTGGCCGTACTAACTCTGGTAGCAGCTGGTGTTACTGAGGTTTTGCCCGTGTCTAGAAGCAGTGCAGTGATCGTTCCTAACCTGGAAGAAAAGGTCCCACCATTCTGTTTCATTAGGTAATTTTTCTAGTCTCTCAGTTACATGATTTGTTACAAAAATATACATATGCATGCATACATATCCATATGCCTACCTGTGCATAGATACGTGTTCATATACGCACATGTTTGTTGTATATTTGTGTGTATATACATGTTCCTTTCTAAATAATATTATATTTTATGTCTTGGCAAAATATAAAATAACAACCAAGAAAATAAGGTTGTGACGGCTTCTTCTTAAGAAACTAAGTTATGTCATCACTTTCTTAAGTACCTTCACAACACAGATATTAGGAAAAGTTGCGGATTATTAATTTGGTTTAGACATTTTTTTAAAGGTTTTATTTATTTGAGAGAGAAAGAGAGCGCATGCACGAAAGAGCACCAGCAGAGCGGGGTTGGGGGAGGAGGGAGAAGGAGAAGCAGACCCCCCCGCTGAGCAGGGAGCCAGATCCTGAGCTAAAGGCAGACCCCTAACCACCCAGGTGCCCCTAGACATTTTTTTAGCATCTGTTTGGTGTTAACTTTGTTTCCCTGATACTCAGTTATATATTTGCTTCCTATTATTGTCAGTGTTTCTTATTTGCCTAAAACACTTTGAATTCTACCTCCCTGGATTCTTTTCCCTCCTTTGTTAGTTTACGTGCATTACTGATGTGCTAGTATCTGAAAGTAAAAAGGCAATTTAGAAACAAAGTCAAAGAAAATTTCATCATTCTTATTTCTGAAAATTGCCAACTGAAACTAGTAGCTCCTTGCTGAATTGTCTTCAAGTCAGGCATTCAGGATATCAGCTACTAGGTGCTTTGTAATTAGTTTATGGTTGCAGTATATGATGGTGTACTGTGCAAAATTCATGAAGGAGATTTCTACAAGTTTATCATGAATTTTTGGCCAACTGAACTTTTACACTTCCTAATCCATTTGTTCCGCTGAGTACAGTGTTAGAGTTGAAACAACGGTTTTCACTTCCCGCATGGGTAGGTGAACCCATGCACATATTTATCACTGATTTCCAGCCCTGGAAAAATGTAGAATTTAGATGAGTTTGCTCACTTATATTTAAAGGAGGGGGGATATTTTGAGGGAGTTTTCCTGAAAATAGGATCGGTGAAATAAAAATTAAAATTCATATTGACTTTATGGAGGTAAACTGCCAGAAGCAAACCTCTTTGGCAGATGTTTGAGTCAGAGATACATTCCAACCAAGGCAGAGTCTTCTTTCTGACTTTCCTTTGAGAAGCAGGGACACCCCATGATGTTGGGCTGACAGGCATAAGGAATTAATCAGCTCTTCTCCTCTCCCTTCCTCCCAAAATATTATAAATAGAAATGTGTCCAAATAATGGCAGTGATACAATATAGCTTTTCACTTCTCCTATTTTAGTAAGTTTTTATCTTTTTAAGAAATAAAGGTTAGTGAACTTGAAGAGAGAATGGGAAGTACTTTTTAAAACGTTTTGATCTTATTGAATTTAATTGGATAGATTTCTCTATTAATATAATCATTGCATTACTATGTGCATTATATTATATGCAATCTGGAATACTTGGTCTTTTTACTCCTATAATCTTGAAATAAACATTTAATTTTTAGGTATTACAAATGTCTGATAGCTGTGTTTTGAACCGATATGAGTTGCATTATGTTTTGTTACTAATAGTTTAGATGAATATGTATATCCAAGTCTTGGCCCACTAAAATAAGTAATGTGCTGTAGAGTAGTAGGGTTAGAGATTCTTGGCTTCCTGGATTCTTCTTGTGGGTCCTTCAAGAGATGGCGTAAAGATAATGTAGGTGTTCTGTTGTATTCATCAGGTTTTCTCAGTTGGTTTCAGCTCATTGCCTTATCAGAGAGAGGGAGAAAAATCATGATTTTCTTATATCACACTTACCACCTCTAGCATTGCTTTTCATTCTTTCTTTTGGCCATTATTTAACTAGTGCTTGCATTGGCCTGACATTGTACAAAGCCCTACCAACAACGTGACCTAATAGTTCTTGCCATTATGAAGTTACCATTTAGTAGAGATGGCGCATAAGAACATGGACTCTTGGGTGCCTGGGTGGCTCAGTTGGTTAAGCGACTGCCTTCGGCTCAGGTCATGGTCCCGGAGTCCTGGGATCGAGTCCCGCATCGGGCTCCCTGCTCGGCAGGGAGTCTGCTTCTCCCTCTGACCCTCCTCCCTCTCATGCTCTCTGTATCTCATTCTCTCTGTCTCAAATAAATAAATAAAATCTTTAAAAAAAAAAAAAAGAACATGGACTCTTAAGTCACACTGCCTTGGTTGTACTCTTGGTTGCACCACTTCCTGGTGATTGGACAAGTCCCTTAATCACTTGTGTCCATTTTCTTCCTGCTAAAATGAATGTAATCTCTCTATATTAAATAAGATAACATGTGTAGAACACATACCAAACATTCAGCACTGGTGTTAGGAAAGGGCACATATCAGCTATCTCTAACCCTGTTACAGAAGTGAGTCAACCAGCTTTGTTCAGTTTATAACCATTTTATTTCATTTTGGGAGCCTTTTCCCAGCTCTGCTATAATATTTGGAATATACTCTGCTCACGTTTCCTTCTTTCTTTCAAAGAGCTCCTCATTTAACGTCTCCTGGCTGGACGCTGCCATACACACGACACCCACAGGTCCCTGTTGCACACTGTGTAATGTTTGTACATGTTGCCAATGCAGATTGTTCATTTATTTATTTGAGACTGCGTGGTGTCTTTTCAGTTATATATTATCTATTATTATAAGACCTTAGAAGAGAAGAGACCATGGCAATCTGCGCAATAGGCATTTAATATTGGAAAGAAGTAAAAACAATTTTCATTTTCAGTAGAAGTAAGCATAAGCTTTTTCTCACCAGGCTGTTTATGTGGCTGAGAACAAACTGGGCTGTCAGAACTGTCCTATTATCTTATGCTTTAGACGCAGAAGCATACCGGTTTGTATTGAACCTTTTGTAAAATGAGTTGCCTTTTTCATTCTTAAAGCATTTACAGTTCTAACTGTATTTGTGGGATCCAGGTACTGTTTTCTCCATTGTAGCTCATTTGTTAGATTAAACTTTGGGAATGTCTTTTATTGTGAATGGTAATTTTCTAAATTTTTACTTTTGTTTTGCTTTTTAATTTTTCTGCTAGATTGTTACTTTCTTTTTTTTTTTTTTTAAAGATTTTATTTATTTATTCATGAGAGACAGAGAGAGAGAGAGAGAGGCAGAGGGAGAAGCAGGCTCCCAAGGAGCAGGGAGCCCGATGTGGGACTCGATCCCAGGACCCTGGGATCATGACCTGAGCCGAAGGCAGACACTTAACCATCTGAGCCACCCAGGTGCCCAGATTGTTACTTTCTTTTCTGAGTTATTAACATACTCAACTTTGATTCCTTTCCCATAGTCATTCTACTTTTTTCTGTCTTACTCTAAAGCCTTTCAAAGCTCTACAATTAGATTAATACTTCTAATTCTGTGTGGAAATTTTCATTTTCTTTTTTTCCCCCTACTTTCTTTATAGAAACAAGGATCAGGTATAACGCTTTCTGGATAAGTATATACCAAGGCTTTGTAAACCGGGCACTTAAGATTCTCGTCGTTTTACAAGAGAAAAGGTTGTCTTAACTGACTACTTATCGCATAGGCTGCCATTTTGGCGTGCCAAATCTGTCGGTTAAGACTGATTTTCCAGATAGTGTTCCTTGGCATAATAAAACCAAAGCTATTGGGGATTCTATATGATTTTTAGTTCTAAAGAAGTAACATGAAAGTATTGCTATTCTTATTTTGTAGAGCAAAAAGTAGGCTAGAAGAGTTAGAGACCTATTTGTTATTTATCCATTCATACTGTTAGTGGTATTGGCTAGTATGTGGTGGTATTACTCAACTTAAACCCAAGTTACCTGCCTCTTTGTTGAGTTGTCATAAATTAAAATCAAAACACTAAGAAAAAAGTCAACACTAGAAATACAATAGCAATTGGTAATAGTAGCACAGTGTGTAAAACTTTAGCATAAGTCATAGTATGCTTATTAGAACATTTAAAATTTAAAAAACATTTAAAATTTACTTCTCAAGGCACTTCCTAAAGGGTTTTTTTTTTTAAGATTTTATTTTATTTGAGAGGGAGAGAAAGAGAGCACAAGTTGGGGGGGGGGGTCCGGGGAGGGGTGGAGGGAGAGGGAGAAGCAGGCTCCCCACTGAACAGGGTGCCAGACACAGGATTCGATCCCAGGACTTTGGGATCATGACCTGAGCCACCCAGGTGCCCCTTAAAAGACTTGTTTTTATGTACTGGGGGAAAAAAAAAAAACTTGGCAGATTTGGCAGTCTTTAAGATATTGCTAGTACTCATGTATCAAAATGGTGACATATAAATTAGAAAATAACATTTTATATAGTTACTTGCTTTGTTAAGTTTAAGCATTTGGCGTTATTAAGATTATGTGTGTGTATATATATATATATATATACAGACACAAACATGCATATACAGACATATTCATGTTTATTTGTTTCATTTATAAATCTTTTTTCTGGAAAGAAGAATCATTCTTTGTTTACGAAGTTACTATCGACTGACTGTTGGGATGACAACAGAGGAATATTTGAAATACAACCTAAGTATTATTATAGAGGACATACTCAGTACTTTGAAGACTGCCTAATAAATTAGTGTGCATTTGTTGACAGGTAATAGATCATTCTACAAACTTGTTATTAGATATTGTTATTCATCCAGTCAAACATTTATGAATAGTCTATCATAATCAGTGTATTCACACCCCACATCCAACCCATCACAAATAATTTTATCTCTACTTCCAGAATATGTAGATGCTAAATGTAACTACTTCTCACTACCTTTATCACTACTTCCTTATTTCAGAAACTTATTTTACCTTCTTAGAGACACCTTCCCTGTGCATTGTATCTAAAATATGCCCACATTCTTCCCCATTGTTCCACTTAATTTTTTTTCACTAGCATTTTCTCCTTTTTGATATTATATCTTTTTAAAATTTATTATTACCTATGTTTTATTGTTTTCCTCCTGATTAGAATGTAAGTACCGTGAGGGCGAGGAGTCTGTCCTTCTTATTAATTTGATGGTCTCCAAATGTAGAACAATGCCACAATGCCTGGCTTAACTTAGGTTTTCAGGAAAATGAATGTAGGAAGGAATGATTGCTGTGGAGATATAGGAACATGGTGTTGACCATACGCACCAGGGTCAAGTATAGTACCTTAACACATTTTTGTTTGATGCATTTTTCAAAATTAGGGAAAGAATGAATGAATGAGTGAGTGCAGAAATTAGGCTTTGGTAGTCCATTTTGCGAAACTGTTTGTCATTATCTTGTAAAATTGAACATACATGTGCCTTGTAACCCAGAAATCCCACTTCTCGGTATATACCCAGCAGACATACAGATACATGTTCCCCAAAAGACATGAACAGTGTTGTTCATAGCAATACTCTTCATGAGAGCCCCAATATAGAAACTAACCTAATGCCCACAAACAGTAGAATGGATAAATACATTGTAGTATGGTGATACAATGAAATACTATACATCAATGGCAGTATAAGAACTACAGCTGTATTTAACACTATGGATGAATCACATAAATACAGTGTTGAGTGAAAGAAGCCAAAGACAAAAGAACACGTTACATAATTTTACTTATATAAAGTTCAAGTCTGTGTTGTTAGATGTCAGGGTAGTATTTACCCTTGAAGACACAGCACTGGAAGGGGACATAAAGAGAAACTTCTAGGGTGCTCTAATGTTTTGTACCTTAAAGATATGTTTTATATTGAAAGGTATTACAACACAGTGATCCCAGCCTTAGAAGAACTAATTTAATAAAGGAGCAACAAACCAGCACTAGGCTGATTAAAATAAATGATGTATAAAGTGCTTTCAGTATGCAGAGGATGGAATTACTAATTTTATTGAGGTGTGTGTGAAAAGATGACATTGTAAGTACTTTTAATGTCTTTAATATTGTGCCAAATGTTTTTATAGCATAAAACTTAGAAGTACTTTTCTTTTTAATCAATAGAATCCTCAAAACCAGGTAAGTTTGTGTTGAATAGGCCAAGGACTTTTTAACAGATATTGTCCTAACTAGTGGTGAAACTAGAACATTTCCTAAGAGGGAGAAATTATATTTCCAGACTTAAAAGCTCAATTTTTTAAATGTTTAAGTTATAGCAACTTGAAAATGACCATTAAAATATGTAAATACCGGGCGCCTGGGTGGCTCAGTCAATAAGTGTCTGCCTTTGGCTCAGGTCATGATCCCAGGGTCCTGGGATCGAGTCCCACATCGGGCTCCCCGCTCTGCGGGAAGCCTGCTTCTCCCTCTCCCACTCCCCCTGCTTGTGTTCCTGCTCTCGCTATGTCTCTCTCTGTCAAATAAATAAATAAAATCTTAAAAAAAAAAAAATGTAAATACCATCACAATACAGTGTCAGCATTAAGAAAAATAAATTTTTATATCAGTAATAAATTTCATTGATGAACCAATGGAGTATCAGGTAACAAACATGGATGAGATAGCATTTGGCATACCCATCAAATTGACAAAAATGGAAAGGTCTGATACTGCCAAGTATTTATGTAGAGAAATGAGAGCTCTTTATACATTTCTGGTGGCAAAGTAAATTGGTATAGGCAGTTTAAAAAGCAATTACCTAACACCTAGTAATTTTGGAGATGCACAACCCTATGACCCTGAAGTTCATGCCTCCATGTGTCAACACCAGAAAGTATTATATATATATATAGGATGATCATTATACTTGTAATAGCGACAAAGTGAAACAATATGATGGCCTCTTCTAAGCAGATGATTAAAGGGGTTTCTTTGTACCCTGAGATATAACAGTCAAAATGAAAAATTTGACTTCTATATTACCAACATGGATAAATTTCAAAAAGCAGTGCTGATTTTTTTTAAAGCAAGTTGCAAAATGTAATATACAGTTTGGTAACAATTTTGTAAAATTATATTTATTTTTTTAAAAGATTTATTTATTTGAGAGAGAGAGAGTGTGCACATGTGGGGGGGGGGCAGAGGAAGAGAGAGAATCCTCAAGCAGACTGCCTGCTGAGCATGGAGCCTGACTAGGGGCTCGATCTCATGACCCTGAAATCATGACCTGATCCAAAGTCAGGAGTTGGATGCTGAACTGACTAAACCACCCAGGCATCCCAATTTTGTAAAATTTTAAAACAAAACAGTAGTATACTTCTTTTATATAATAAAAGTAGCAAGTGTGAAACTGTTCTCATAGCCCATAAAGTATCTCTACAGAGAAAATAAAATGGTATAGGTTCCTTTCTTTTTGCAAAGATTTGACTAGAGATTTAGGGGATGAAAAGTAAAGTATAAAATTTACTGTTATTTGAAATTGCCATTAACTTAGAAAAATTTCAGTTTATTGCCTGATATATTACCAGGAGATCATGTTAAGTATAAGAATTTGGTAATAATTATTATTGAGCTTGCTATTTTTACTCATTAGTAATTCATATAAGTTTGTGTAAGGAATTGTAGTAAGGTTCAAATCGCATATACAGACATTTTTTAATTGCTTTTTAAAATATATGCAAAATTTTAAATACATGGATTTTGAAGATCAAAAAAGGTTCAGCTATCTCTATTTTAAACTATATTTTAGGGCCGCCAGGGTGGCTCAGTCAGTTAAGCGTCTAACTTTTGATTTTGGCTCAGTTCATGATCTCAGGGTCCTGGGATCGAGCTGGAGCCGCAGACCCCTCGGGGCTCGGGGCTCAGGGCTCAGGGCTCAGAGCTCAGAGCTCAGGGCTCAGTGCTCAGCAGGAAGTCTGTTTGAGATTCTCTCTGTCCCTCTGCTCCCCACCCCCCAAGCCCTCATGCGCTTGCTTGCTTGCTCTGTCTTTCTCTAAAATAAATAAATAAATCTTAAAAAAAAAAACAAAAACAAAAACGAAAAACAAAAACTACATTTTAAACACACAATCAACAACTCAAGATAATTATATTATACAGTGGTATTAAAGATTGTGTTATACAATGGTATTTAAAACTTGAAATATACACAGAAGACAATGATGTGTGGCGGCTGAGGGGACACACATGGATCAGATAGAACTGCATTTGAATTCCAACCCTGGCAAGTTAACTTAGCTTTCTCTGGTTTTCTTATGACTTGTTAGTGATAATTCCCATTTCAGTGTGTTGATTAAATGAGAATATATGTAAACCACCTCAGTACAGGGCCTCCTACCCAGCATACTTAGTTAACCATCAGTGTATTAATTCTAACTTCTTTCTCCTGAAAAAAAATCTGGGAAATACCATTTGGATTTCTGTTCAGCTCTCCAAAGTTGACTTGATCCGTAATGTCACTCAGAGTAATATAAATAGCGCCTAGAGTGGGGCAACCGTCTGTAGCAGTGGTTTGATGAAGAAATGCGGTCAGAGTTCCAATTTGAGAACCCAGAAACTACTTTCCCCGCATAGAGTTCTAGGAATAGAAGCAGGAATCCCCTCTGCAGGCACCCTTCTACTCCTTCTACTTGAGGAGTAGGAGTAAATAAACCCACACACCTAAGCCAGTGGTGGTGGCTCTGGTTACCTGGGGCTGGAGCTTTTTGCGCTAGCAAGGAGCTTGAAGATGAGAAATGAGGTTCCAGTGATGGGGAGGTGCTGAAACAGCATGCATGTGCTCGTTGGGGCAGATGGATAAAGGAGAGTGTAAAGTGGGGGCCGGGGTGATCAGTGTAATAGAACTTCTGATTTAAAAAAACAATACCAAACATACCAACTATATACTATTTCAAGAAATTATTCTTGGTATTTTGTTGAAATTAGATAATGAATTCATCACATTTTATAATCCCAACCTTGTTTAGTTTAAGAGAACTAACTGGATTTCCAGGTTTGTCTTCGTGTGACATAAGTCAGTACAAACAGTGAAGGCTATCTATCAGCAAACCATGTTAGAACTTTAATGATTATAGGAATTGAAGAATACTGGAAATATATCTGATACTTCTAACTACTTGTTTTAGGGTGCCCATAATAAAACTTCAGCCATGTAGTTCTTTGTGGTCAGTATTTTTAGAAATAAACTTAGTGTGGGGTGCCTGGTGGCTCAGTCCGTTAAGCATCCGATTCTTGACTTCTGCTCAGGTTATGGTCTCAGGGTCAAGAGACCACTCACAATCTCTCTCTCTCTCTCTCTCTCTCAAATAAAAATAAATAAATCTTAAAAAAACCGCAAAAACCTGTTTCTATGAGAACATCAGATTTGTCTTATGTTTCCACTGAAAGCACAAAAAAAACCCTTTCTGGTCCATGTAAGCATTGTACACACATAGACATTACATGTGGTTTATGTGATCAGCTTTTTCTCATTTTTGTAATGCAGATAATTGAGACGTGAGTAAAATAATTTTCTGAATTAATAGAAACACAACAGGAAATATTACAAATAAAAACTCTAAAAATTCAAATTTTCTCCTCGATGTGAAATCTGATCAGTTTGCTGTCTATTCTTTTTCCAATAATAAAAACTTTATGTAATGGTTGAAAATATGTATCGAAAGAAAAAGGATTTCCTTAATGTTAATATGCTTCTTTTGTATGTAAAACCATTGCATCCAAAAATATTGGACACTGTGTTCTTTTAGGATTAAACCTCTAATCTGTCTAAACTGCAGAAAATTATCAGTGTTGTAATGGTCTGCAGAACAACTGTCCCCTTGATATTAAATTCCGTAAATGTTAAAGCTTTTCCTTTCCCACAGGAGGCAACCTCAAGAGCTGCTTTTCTATTCTAATCTCGATAGTAAGAAGGGAAAAACTGTTTTTCTTCTAGGCACTCAGTTTGTCTTCCAATATTTATACCAAAATTTTCCTCACAAAGGAAATCTTTAATTAAAAAAAAACTCCGAATTGATCTACAAATAATTAGGAAATATTAAAAATACCGATTATAAACAAATGAGAATAAGGGAAAAAGCCATTTATTTTTAAACTAAATGCTATACCTGCATTAACAAAATATTGAATATAGTCTTCACCAGTGTCTTTTTAACTTGGCCATAATGCATCAGTACTAGCTGTAACACTGAAAATATTCAGAGGTTATTATCTTTAATGTAAATAAACTTTCTTTGTATACTTCCATCTTTATATGTTGCTGACTACACAGATAATAGAACTATATAAAGCATCATTCACATTTTATCAATCACATTCATTGACACTGCATTTGCATTGAAATATGAATTCACATTTTTTAAAAAAGGAATACAGCATATTATGGAAAGGCTACACATTTTCTGGACTGTAAAATTAAAATGAGACTGATAAACCCACATGGTGTCTTCATCCCTCCTGAGGTATGTGCTGTCTATTAAGGAAATGAGATGGCAGACCTCTGAAGGGGTTATGAATCCACTGGTCCTTAATCTTTGTGGATTTGTAGACTTGACAGTACTCATAAATGCTACAGAACTCTTGTCAGAAAAAAGTGTGTGTGCACATAGACACAAAATGTAGCAGACAATTTTAGGAGCTTCACAGACCTTCTGAACACAGAACCCATACCCTTACATAAACACCTGATATTCACTGGCTATTTGCATGGTGACCCAAAGGTCTGGGGCCTGTGATCCTTTGTCATTTTGCTGGGGCACACATTTGAGTCACACTAAAATAAAGCTGGAAGGCCGATGTGAAGCAACAAGTCAGCCGGTTAGTGGAGGAGCCTGGCATTCACATCTCAGTTTGACTCTGGCAGCTTTACAACTCATCATTAGCAGAATAATTATCAAGAAGTGCTTAAATGGTAATTATTAAGGTATTCTGAAGGTCTCTGAATTTCTCATAATAAAAAGGGTTCACTCTGCTTTCGTATATCCTAAGGCTCCGCAACAAGTTATACCACAATTATTCTCTAAAAGAAAGCAGGCTTATAAAAAAAAAAAAAAAAAAACCATAAAAAAAATAAAGTGTATTATCACCATAGACAGTCATTTATTAACAGATTTATTAAATCCCTAGTCACTGTGTAGTTTACAAAAATAAAAAAGATACATACTCAATCTTCTAAGAGCATTCAATAATATGCACTAATTTTATATTTTTTAAGATTTATTAGAGAGAGAGCGTGCATGTGTGCACATGGGAGCGAGGGAGGTGTAGAGAGAGAGGGAGAGACAGAATCTCAAGCAGATTCCCCACTGAACTGGGAGCCAGATTTGGGGCTCGATCCCAGGACCCTGAGATCATGACCTGAGCTGAAACCAAGAGTCAGCTGCTTAACTGACGGAGCCACTCAGACACCCTATCATAGAAGTGATTTTAGAACATTAGGTAATGTATTTATTGAAGACCCATATTTTCACCAAATTATTATAAACAGCATAATTAAACACCAGTACATTTTATACATGTCTAGCATGGAACTTTCTAAAGTGCATATAAATTAAACATACCAGTTCTGAATTGTAATTTTGTTCAAGTTTTCATTCTTTTATAATTCCTGCATTATAAGCTGAAGTAGCAAAAAAGTGAAAACTTTTAAATTAGGTTTGTAAGATTCACAAAGATTTGGGGAGGGATAGGTTTTAATAGATCCTTTTAAAGATACTTTTGACTACACACCGTCATTCAATAGCCGTTAAGAAACAATGACATATATTTTTACAAAAGAGTTTTTTAATTCTGAAAGTAATAGATGACCATTATAGAAGATTTAGAAAATACTGGCAAGTATAAAGAAGGAAAGAAAATCCCCCCAATTCCACCACCCCAAATCAACCATTCTTAACAGTAAACTCATTACAAATACTACTGTGTAGATTTCAGTTGTTTACAAATTTATACCATTGAAAACAGTTTTGCCTTGCACAGTTTCTAAGCATACTTACTAATGAAAACACCACACAATTTTCTAAGTAAGTTGACCCAACTTAGTAAACAAAATTAACAGGTTTTTATTTGGACCTTAAGGACAGTACATGGGCTTACTGTTGGAGTTTCCCTGATGTAGGTTTGGCATATGTTTTCTGGAAGCAGGGAAAGTGGAGTCATAGGTGTAGGAAGCAGTCTCTTGTGAGATAGGGTAGAACAAAGAATAAACACTCGGAGAACCCTTTAGGGCCAGTTCTAGAGTAATAAGGGCTCAAAAAAAAACTTGCATTCGGTTTTTTGTCATGAGGACATTTTAACTTGCCTTGACTAGGGCCTTGACTCTCCCCTGATATGAACCTTTTTAGAGAGTGTTGTGGACTCACTTGTTTCTCCAAAATTCGTATGCTGAAGCCCTAGCCCCTGATGTGATTGCATTTGGAGATAGGTCCTCTAAAGAGGTAATTAAGGTTAAATGAGGTCATAAGGGTAGGTCCCTAATCCAATATGACTAGTGTCCTTTTATGAAGGGGAGGAGACATCAGGGATACATTTGCACAGAAGAGGCCACATGAAGACAAAGCAAGAAGGCGGGGTGACCTGTAAGCCAGGGAGAGAGGCCTCGGTAGAAACCAACTCTGTTGGCACCTGATCTTGAACGTCTTCCAGAGCTGTGAGAAAATAAATTTCTGTTGTTTAAGCCATCCAGTGTGTGGTATTTTGCACGGCAGATCTCGCAAACTAATACCGAGAATAAAGCTTTTTTTTTTTTTTTTTTTAAGGAAAAGTGTGGTAGGTAGAATCACGGTCCCCCAGAATATCAGGTAATAATCCCTGGGCATTGTACATATTATCTTAAAAGGGAAAGTGTCTTTTCAGATTTGATGAAGTTAAGGATCTTGAGATGGAGAGAATATTCTGGAATACCTGAGTAGGCTCTAAACATAATCACAGATGTCCTATGAGAGGCAGAGGAGATTTGACAGACCTACATCGGAGAAGTTGATGGGATCCCTAAAGATAGGGCCACGAGTCAAGAAATGCTGAAGTAGATTCCCAGAGAGCACAGCCCTGCGGACACTAAGGGTTTGCCCCAATGCCACTGTCTGCAGACCTTGTGAGTAAATACATTTCTCTTGTTGAAGCTATCAAGTTGGTGGTGATTTGTTACAGCAGCCATAGGAAGCTAAACAAACAGCAACTAAACACACCAAGTCCTTTTAGCATCTTTCCGTGTAACATTAGGGTTTTGTATCAGATGCTCTTGGCTTTTTATTTTATGAAATAATGAATTATATTGATTATTTTTCTATTGTTGAACCATCAAGTTATTCTTGGATAAACTCTACTCAATTCTGTGTTATATTTTGTTTTTTAATATCCCGGTGGGTTTGATAATATTTTGTTTATTGTTTAGCATTTTTTTTCTGTATTAAGGAATGAAATTGGGCTCTAGTTTTCCTTGTTGATGCTGTCTTTGTTGTAAGGCTTTGATCTTAAGGTTATGTCAAATTTATTTGAATATGTAGCCTGAGCCCAGATTATGCTAACTTTGGAAGCCAGGCAAAAAAGCTGAAGCTTCTTGTGATAGGCATTTGGGAGCTGTTGCTGGTTCTTAAGCAGTAGAGACTTCATAAACGGGGCAAGGGGTAGGTACTAAGACATAACAGTGGAGCCAGAGTCACCTATGATTACCTGTAGAACATTATCAAGTCATACAGTTTCAGATAACAAATCCAGGTATTGAGTTTCTCAAACATACTCCCCTCCATTCATGTTCTTAGGAGTGAAGACTTAATGTGTGTTACAGGGCATTCAGTCAGGAAGCAAAAGAATTCTAAGGCACTAGAGAATGTCCTAGTGGGTGACCAGGAGTTGACCATATTTATCTCTGCCTTGTGATTCTTTCATTCCATTCTGTTCTTACCTGGAAGAGGTAGCCATCATAGACTAATAAACTTCGGGAATGTTAGGGGATGATAGGAATGTATTTGTATGGATCACAGTTTCTGAGCAGATGGCCTTGGCCTGTGGTGGGAGAGAGACAAGTAGGGTTATTGCTAAGGATCCATTGACCTCTGTTTAACCCAAACATTATCTAAACACTGAAAAAATAATATAGCATACATCTGTTATTTCAGATTTTCAGATATACTCAATTATTTCATAATTCGTCTACATCACTAGCTGAACAATTAGGTGTTGGAATTTGTGGTACATTTGGTTGTTACTGTTTTTAAGCAACAGGTACTAAGAGTGTATACTCTTGTCCTGTGGGAATCTGTAAAGGGTCTTGTTTTTGTTTTGTTTTTTTAAAGAGACTGTCTTCTAAACACCAACCCCTTCATCTTCCTGCTGAGGCTATTCCTGGTGATAGATACTCATGTTTACACAGCTAGTCAGTCACAGATTCCTTGTAAGAGCCTGTGTTTCCAAGATTCCTTAGAAATGCTATGAAAAAGACTCCTAAGCTTTACAATACTAATTACTGGTGTTGAACTTTGAAGAAGTATAGATACCTGCCTCTCTTGACCGTGGGCTATGTATAGATTGAAAGTTCTATCATTGCTTTCGGAAAGTTACAGGATAGCTTCTGTTTTTATAAAATTGTTCTTAAATTAAAAAAATTTTTTTTATGTACTTTTCAATTTAGTAAGCTATGTTTGAGGTGGCTCTGCTGGTTGTTTCAGATGTTACGTTTTAGTTCTAGTCTCTGTTCTCAGGGTAGATTTTTGGAATCCTTTATTTTCTGAGATTTTTTTCTGACCAGAGGAAAAATAACTAGATAGATAAATAAGTAGATGGGAAAACAGACAGTTCAACCAGAAAACAAAAATAAAACCAAATCTGCACAGCAGGTTTGTGAGAAGATCTACTGTACTGAGTCGCTTGATAGGTGTATGTCCTTCGGTGAGCATATGGGCATGGGGATGGATGCCTGGTGCACCAGCCAGCATTGATTAAGGATGTGAATATGTTCCAAATAGATGTGTGATCAAGGGAAGAAAACTCGTTAATGCTCCCTGGGGTATTAAGGAGTTGGGGGAAGATGCAGAGTATAATTAAGAAGAAATTGTGGTGTCTGTCTAGGGATAATTAAGTTCAATTTAAGCCTGTTATTCTATTTTCGTGAAAATGTTCCTGAAGTAGAAAAGAATAAATAGTAAGACAGTTTATGTGGATCTTAAAGAAAAGTTAGTTTTGACAGTTGCAATTAAATTTTAATAGTTTAATTTGGGAATCTACTTATCCTGAAATCTCTGTTGGTAAAAACATGGAAACTTGTAATACGGGTTAGAATTATTTCGGTTAACAATTATGGTTTCTGTACCCATTAGACTATAAAACTCTTATATTCCAAAGGATTTTAAATTGACTCATTGAGTTATCTAGTTAAATGGGAATATGCTGTTAAAAGTAGAATAGAGTCTCCTTGTAGTCATAAAGTTGACACAATGCTTTATGAGCAAATTTAATGTTCTATTCAGGAACATGAGGTTGGACAGAAAGATAACCTTACAAGAAATTATCTCAGTTATTCATTCTGACCTTTTGTTCACAAAAGAAACTAGAATTCAAAAGAACACAACATTTTTTTTTAACATTACACTTCTTTTAGTTGATTGGTATCTGCAGATTGCTCTTAATTAGACTATATAAAATATTAATAGCACTTTGTGTTACTTTAGTTTTGTGTGTTTGTTATTCCTTTCAGGTTGACATCTTTCACCATATTTTTGCTGTCCCCCTGTAGATTATACATTACAAGTCTTTATAGGAATCAGATGTATTCTATATTAAATGATTTTTTTTAAAGATTTTATTTATTTATTTGATAGAGAAAGACAGTGAGAGAGGGAACACAAGCAGGGGGAGTGGGAGAGGGAGAAGCAGACTCCCCGCTGAGCAGGAAGCCCGATGTGGAGCTCGATCCCAGGACCCTGGGACCATGACCTGAGTGGAAGGCAGACACTTAATGACTGAGCCACCCAGGTGCCTCTAAATAATACCTTTTTTTAAGGGGGGAAAAAAAAACAGGAGAAAATATGAAGAAATGAAGTCTAGGAACTACTTTGGAAATGTCGGTAATGAGGAGTGCAAAATAAGTTAAATCTATATACCAAGGAAAAGAGATTTCACTACAAAATAATACGTGAAGCAAGAAATCACGAGTATGCTTACCCATATTTTACCTGAATGCCATTTATTTAACAGATATTTATTGAGTTCCAAACTAGATGCTAGAGCCTTTCCTAGGCTCTGGGAATATATTTGCCAATACTGGAGTCATATGTGTCATTTGTAATTGGATGTTCTAGGAGTTCTTTTTTTTTTTTTAAAGATTTTATTTATTTATTTGAGAGAGAGAGAGAATGAGAGACAGAGAGCATGAGAGGGAGGAGGGTCAGAGGGAGAAGCAGACTCCCTGCCAAGCCAAGCATGGATCGATGCGGGACTCGATCCCAGGACTCCAGGATCATGACCTGAGCCGAAGGCAGTCAGTTAACCAACTGAGCCACCCAGGCGCCCGGATGTTCTAGGAGTTCTGAGAAGGAAAGCCCGCGGTACCTGCGGAGGCAGTGCCAGGAGCCTTAACCTAGAGCAGGGGACCAGGGGACTTCAGGGGAGATCTAAGCTGGGACGTGGACTGAAACTGTACGGTTACATCAGGGCCAGGGAGAGAGAAGGGGTTTGCAGAGAATGTGGTAGGCAGTGGGAATAGCATGTTCAAAAACCCTGAAGAGATATGATGTACTGTAGGGAACTCAAGAAGGTCATGATCACTGGCATGCAGGCGGGGATAGGAGGCAAAGCCAGGCTGGAGTGATTCAAATAGCCACACTTGAAATCATCTGATTAACGTGAAGTACTCAGTGTCGCCTTAAGATTGGAGATACTGCCGTTGGTGTTCCTTGCCTAATTGCCTCAAGCATTTTTATGTTTCTGAGAGCTGAACTCATTGTACATATTTTTTTTTAAGGAAAGCATGTGTTAGAAGTACCGTTATTAGTCTTTGGAAGTGGTTTTACTATTAATCTATTTTTTTGTTGTGGAACATTTTAAGAACAAAGCATTTTGAGCTTCCATCTCCAGGTCTCTTTTTTACAAATTGAACTAATACTTTTTCATTGAGAAATAGTCCACAAATCTTGCTGCTCAAATAAGTCATTGATCTATATGAGGACTTTGGTAGGGAACTTGCTTAATGTTTGTTCAGTAGAATTGGAAGGATGTAGATAGGACCCACCTCTCTTTTTACTCGTCATTGTATCTCCAATGCCCAGCCATTTCCTGGTCTATCATTGATGCTCTATATTTGTTCATTGAATGAGTATGAAATTTTGCTTTTGTTTTAATGCCTGCTCAGTGTCTTATATGGTTCCATGGTTCTGTGATAAAATCTAGACCTAAGGTGGATGAAGTACTACAGTATGACTTGAGTAATTTTCTTTTAAATTTAAATATAAGATGGAGAATATTATTTTAACAGTTTGTATATCACATGAGAATTGGTATGTGAATGTTCAGCTTATGAGGCTCTTTTTGAAATCATTGTGTGATATTAAGAAGACATTCGTTGTAGAATAAAATGAATAAGAATTGTATTGTTCACGAAGTTTTATACTTTAATTGTATTGGGAATCACACAAAGCAGTTATATCTTGTAAACTATCACATTTTCATTTCTAGGGAGACTGTATGTTTTACTAGGCTTACATCAAACTTTAAAAAAAAATAAACACTTCATTTACATGCCGTAAGATTTATCCGTAAGTGTAAAATTTAATAATTTTTCACCAATTCATAGAATTGTACAACCATTACCACTGTCCAGTCTTAGAATATTTGCATCACTCTAAAAAGTTCCCTCAGGGACCTTTGTGATCAGTCCTTGTACCCAGCCCTAGGCAATTAGTGATGTGCTGTCTGTGTATACAGATTTGTCTTTTCTGGGGATTTCATAAATATGTGATCTCTTGTGTCAGAATTCTTTCACTTAACATCATGTTTTCGAGGTTCCTTGATGTTGTGGAATATATTGGTGGTTGGTTACTTTTTATTGTTTAATAGTATTTCATTGTGTAAGTAGATCATATTTGTTTATCCATTCCACAGTGGGTGGACATTGGGATTTTTTCCAGTTTAGGACTGTTATGAATAACACTTCTGTCACATTCATGTGCAGGTCTTTGTTTGGACACATGCTTTTCATTTCTCTTATGCTAATATCTAGTAGAGTTGGTGGCTCATAAATGGTAAGTTTATGTTTAACTGTTTAAGAAATTTCTGGACTCTTCTAAAGTAGCTGTACTGTCTTACATGTCCACAAGACTGGTGGGAAGCTTTCAATTTTTCTTCCTCGGTAACAGTTGATAATGTCAGCCTTCAAAACTGTAGCCATTCTGTCAGATGTGTAGTGGTATCTTATCGTGGTTTTCAATTTGCATTTCCTTAAAGACTAATGACATTGGGCATCTTTTCGTGTGTGTTAGTTGTCTTACATCTGTGGTGGAATGTCTATTAAAATCTTTTGCCCATTTTTCCTGTGTTGTCTTCTTGTTAGGAGTTACTGAAATTTTTATATATTCTGGGTACAAGTGCTCTATCAGATTTGCAAGTGTTTTCTCCCAGTCTGTGGCATGTCTTCATTTTCTTAGTGATACCTTTTCAAGAGCAGAACTTTTTAATTTTGTGGTGCAGTTAATCGAATTTTTTTTTTTATTGATTATGCTTTTGATGTCATGTAGGAAATCTTGGCCTAGCCCAAGGTCAAAACAGATTTTCTCCTAATATTTTCTTCGAGAAGTTTTATAGTTCTATAGAGGAAAGGATAGTCTTTCAACAAGGGGTGCTGGGACAGTTAGACAGCCATGTGGTCTCTTCTTTCCTTCATATAATTCACTGGTGGTACCTTTGTCTGAAATCAGTTTGTCATAAATGGAAGGGTTTATCTCTGGACTCTCTATTCTGATGCACTGATGTAAATGTCCATCTTTAGACCAATAGCCACATCATCTTGATTACTGTAGCTTTATAGCAAGTTTTTTGAAACTGGGTTATAAAATTCCTTCTACCTTCCTTTCTTCCTCAAAATCATTTTGCCTACTTTACATTCTTTGCATTTCTGTATATAAACTTATATATTAGATCGGTTTGGTAGCTTTCAGTGAATAGATTTGTTTTTGTTGCTAAATTTATTGCTAAGGAGTTTGGTTTTTTTTAAAGCTCTTATGAGTAGAATTGTTTTCTCAATTTCACTTTCGAATTATTGGTAGTATATAGAGATACAAGTTAACTTTTACTATTGGCCTTATAAGCTGTGACTTAACCTCAGTGTGTTTATTAGTTCCAGTAGTTTTTGGAGGGGGTAGATTTCTCAGGTTTCTCTACATAGAGGATCACGTTGTCTGACAATACAAACATTTGACTTGCTTTCAAATGTGTTTGCTTTCAACTTTTCGTTCTTACCTTATTTCACATTCCAGAACTACCCATACATTGGTGAGTAGAAGTGACTGCAGTGTATATATGTAGTTTGTTTGTATTAATCTTTGTATGTTATCATTGTCCTTGGCATTTTGTGTGGCGACTTCAGTCATGACCAGAAGTTGAACTTACTTATCCTTATTGATTTTAATAGTACTATATTTTTAAAAAGCCTCTAAACATTCAATAAAATTTGAGTGAAGTTTTTAGATATTAACTCATACCTCAACTTTTCCAGTTTTGTGTCAATAGTTTCTACTTTACTTTTTTTTTTTTTAAGGGACGCAAATTTCTGTTTTAGCCGATGGGCTGTCCTCAGTTTCTATAATTTGTGTGTATGTGTGTTTATTGGTGCAGATCAAGTCACTATTCATTCTTACCACTGTCAGATTTTTAGCATTTGGTTGGAAATAATTTGGCACTGGACTTGGTGGTTTTGGGGAACCTGGAGTTAAAAGGCAGTGCACATATTTTTTATTCTCAAAGGAAAATTTTATGTCCTGCTGTGTTGTTGGATACTTTGTTCTCCTGTAAACTCGCCAGCCCATTTTTATGTTTTCTGCAGTGACTAGTCCTGCACCTACTGTGCCATCAGAATTTATTGATGGTTCCCAGGTTAAATCAGCACACAGGTTATTGTCATTTGTGTTTGATGTGGGGGTGTTTTCTCTAAGGAGACTAGAGCTTTTGTTTCTCCAGCTTTCCTCACATATTATCCCTATTGTTAGTTATTTTAAGATAGTTTCATGAAATTATTGAGTTTTACAGCCAGAAGAGAAACAAATAATTGGTACTACAACCTGCTTACTTTATTGATGACAAAACTAGAGTACAGCGAGGTAAAATGCTTTACTGGTTAAATACTAATATGTCCTCGCAGAACTAGTTCTTGAGCCTTGCTTCATCATCTACTCTGCTACACCTAATTCTGCTCCCTCCTCAAAAGACTGACGTGATGTCACTTTTAAGGAGCTTTCATGTCCCTTTCAGGAAACCATCCCAGAGGCACGTGGGTGGCTCAGTCGGTTGAACATCCAACTCTTGATCTCAGCTCAGGTCTTGATCTCAGGGTCGTGAATTCAAGCCCCGCATTGGGCTATGGGGGTCAAAGTGTCAAAATGTCAAAAAAAAAAAAAAGAAAGAAAAGAAAAGAAACCATCCCACCCCCAAATTATAAAATTTTCTTACTCTATATATCTAGATTTGATTAGCACATGCAGCTTCTTTTGTTAAGTTTTCAGAGTATCTTTAAGCTGCAAAATACTTACTTTAAGAATTTACTTGGAGTGAAACATCAGTATATAGTTGTGGTTTTTCTAAGAAGTGAATACGTCATAGAAATTAGTTCCAACATGAGTTTTAATTATAGAGCATGCTTATTTTATGCAAATTATCTATTAAATGAAAAATAAATATGGAGATGGGCAGATAAATAATACCTTATCTAGTGTTGTAATATAAGATCAGGATATTGGAATGCCCCAAATAATGGCAGGGAATCCTGCTGTCTCTCTGTCCCTGTTCCCCTCCCTCTCCATCTTCCTGCTTCCCTCCCTCCCGTCCTTCCTTCCTTCTTTAACTAGTCTGTCCTAAATCATAGCTCTTTTTCTTTTATTTAAATTTTAGGTAGCTAACATACAGTGCAATATTGGTTTCTGGAGTAGAATTCAGTGGTTCATCACTTACATCACCCAGTGCTCAGTGCAAGTGCCCTCCTTAATGCTGGTCCCCCACCCACCTCTCTCCATCAACCCTCAGTTTGTTCTCTGTCTTTAAGAGTCTCTTATGGCTTCTTTCCCTCTCCTTTCTTTATTTTCCCCTTCCCATATGTTCATCTGTTTTCTTTCTTAAATTCCACATATGACTGAGATCATATGGTATTTGTCTTTCTGTAACTGACTTCACTTAGCATCATCACTCTAGCTCCATCCATGTCGTCATTCATTCTTTTTGATGGCTGAGTAATATTCCATTGTGTGTGTGTGTGTGTATATATATATGTGTGTGTGTGTGTATGTATATATATATATATATATATATACACACACTACATCTTTTCTTATCCGTTCATCAGTCAGTGGGCATTTGGGCTCTCTCCATAGTTTGGCTTTGTTGATAATGCCACTATAAACATCAGGGTGCATGTATCCCTTAGAATCTGTATTTTTGTATCCTTTAGGTAAACACCTAGTAGTGCAATTGCTGGATTATAGGGTAATTCTATTTTTAACATTTTGAGGAATCTCCATACTGTTCTCCAGAGTGGCTGCACCACCAGTTTGCATTCCCACCAGCAGTGCAAGACAGTTACCCTTTCTCCGCAACCTCACCAACATCTTTTGTTTCTTGTGTTATTCAGTTTAGCCATTTTGACAGGTGTGAGGTGGTATCTCATTGTCGTTTTGATTTATATTTCCCTGATGATGATGTTGAGCATCTTTTCATGTGTCTGTTAGCCTTCTGGTTGTCTTTTTTGGGAGAGTGTTTATTTGTGTCTTCTGCCCATTTCTTAACTGGGTTATTTGTCTTTTGGGTGTTGAGTTTTGATAAGTTCTTTGTACATTTTGAATACTAGCCCTTTATCTGATATGTCATTTGCAGATATCTTCTCCCATTCGTTAGGATGCCTTTTCGTTTTGCTGACTGTTTCCTTTGCTGTGCAGAAGCTTTTTATCTTGATGAAGTCCCAGTAGTTCATTTTTGCTCTTATTTCCCTTGCATTTGGAGACATGTCTAGTAAGAAGTTGCTACGGCCACATAGCTCTTTTTCTAAAAGGCCCTTTGAGTGCACTGGGACTTGGATGTTTGTTTTGAAGAGTTTTACCGTTTGGTGTAATGTTACCTTAAATTTACTGAAGGCAGAAACTTAGGACTCAGCCCTTAATTCCTTTCTCGCATTCCCCCATCCATTTCTTAGTCATATGGCTTCTCTCTTCCGATTGTATCTTGAGGCACAGCTGGGTGGCTCAGTCAGTTAAGCAGCCGACTCCTGATTTTGGCCCGGGTCATGATCTCAGGGTCCTGGGATCAAGCCCCACATCGATGGAATCTGCTTAAGGATTCTCTCTCTCCCTCTCTTTCTGCCCCTCCCCACCCCCGCTCGCACGTGCTCTCTCTCTAAAATAAATAAATCTTTAAAAAAATTGTATCTTGAATCTACTTCCTCTCCTATATCTATTGCCACTTGTTCCAACGTGTCATTGTCCTTTGACTTCCCTGGCTCCCACTGCAGCCTCTCTAATACATTTTTATACAGTTTAAAGTTGACCTTCTTAAAATGTTATTTGGATCACATCACCCCTTGCTTAAAACACTTAGTCAGTAACTCTCCACTGTACTTAGCATAACATCCAGACTCTTTTCTGTGGCTTATGATACCTTGTCCACTGGGCCCAACTCTCACTCTCCCACCTGATCTGGTTCATTGGCCACAGTCACACTGATAGCCTTGTAGTTCCTCACAGGCTAGTAGCTTTCTCCTGCAGTTTATTTGCCATGCTTTTTCATCTGCCTGAAACTCTTCTTCCAGCTTTGCACATGGCTAGCTCCTTCTCTTACTTTCTTAACTCACACATAGGTCCTTAGGTAGGTGTGCCATGAGTACCATGTCCATCCTATCCATTGTTAATTTCTTTTTCACCTGTTAATACAGCTTGCAGTTCTTTTACCTATTTTCTTATATTTTCTTCTTTCTAAAGTATAAATTTCATGAGGGTAAGAGATCCTAAATACACTGTCTAGTCCATAATAAGCATTCAATTTTTACCAACTGCTTGAATGAAAGAGTTTTTTGGACAAGTAGTTCAGCTTAAGCTAGAGGGTCTATAGGGGGATAAAAAGGAACCTGTAAAAGGTCATTGATTTTATCTAATCTTGCATTTTAAATGTGGCCATAAATTTATTTTGCCACTATTAAATATAGCATTCAGTATGTAACATTAGACTGTAGATGTGTCTTAAAAATTTAAGTGTTGGTGTTCCAGACTACTTATCAACTGGAATTATGTCTTGCTTAAAGATTTATCATTTTTAAATGATCATACATAAGCTAGCATGACCATTTTGTATTTGGCCTTCTCATTTGTGACATTTTGTGTCATGTATGCTTATCATTTATTGTAGTCCATTTCCTATGGAGTGCATACAGAGAGTTTTTATAATTCAAGTGGTAAACAGTTTCCAGCATGCACTTTTGAGAAGCCGAGTGGTGGTTAGGTCTGGAGTAGAGTAAGACAGTGGTTAGGTTTTAGGCAGGATTCGAGTTATGGGATCCACATTCCCATTCATGAACTGGGGAATGCTGACTTCCCAAGGTTTGAAGGGAACCTGGAGGTCAGCCTGATAAGGCTAAAGTCATCTTCATTTCTTAGCCTCACTCCAAGCCAATTGAATTGGAGGAAATTCTTCTTCTGCCCTTAACCTGAGGAGCCATAACTTTCCTTGATATGGAGGGAACCCTGGGGGAATTCCAGCATATTGCAGAAACACTTTAAGTACCACACAGCCAGACTCAGAATACCTGAACTCTACGCCTCTTCTGGTTAGCCTCAAGGTGGAGACTGAGGACATGGTTCATCACCAAGGCCCTATCCCTGCTTCTGGCCTTGGCTAATGATACTCTAGGGCTTCCACGCTATGCACTCTCAGTGAAGCTTCCAGAAAGAACGCTTCTTTCTAGCAGAGGTCTTGCCAAAATGTCCCTAAGCTGCTGCCACCACTTACCTTCCATGGAACCTTGAATAAAGTCTAATAAGCTCAGTTCCATTCTTCATGCGAGGTTCAGTCATAGCTGTACCTTCCTCATAACACCATTGTGAGAATTCAGTGAGTTAATGAACAATAAAGTGTTTTTCACGGTAGGTGGCACTAGGCAAATACCGTTGTGGTTGTCATCATCATGCATAAGAAAACCACCACCACTGGGTTCCCCCAGTGCCATTAGAGATGTTATAAAGAATGTCACTGGGGAGAAGACTCCTTTCCTAAGCATTATAGAATTAGAAGTCTATTCTAGAGGATGTGCTCTTCCCCTAACCTTCACCCTTTGCTAAATTATTCCCTCTCCCTTATCACATCTGTTGGAATAGAACATTCTCAGAGACTCAAGACCCACCATTCTGGGGGTTCACATGCAGTCATGTTAATGGTAATATCTCCGTGATATTGGTTCATGTCCTACCTGCGACCTCCCTGTAATGTGTTCCCCAGTTTATTCCGGTAGTCCCCAGGGCTGTTTCACTAATGCACACAAGCTCCGCATGTCCCTCTACTCTTGTTTTGTCATGCATTCGCATGACAGGAGGGTAGATCCTCACCACCACCTCTGTAATGCATGCCTTGGGTAGCTCTTTGTCATTAGAGATGCTGTCTCCTGATGCTCTGACAGATGCCAATTTCGGAGCTTCCAAAATGGCATTGCATTCACCTTAATCATCACCACTGTACTTGGACTCCAGGTCTCACAGAATCCTTCCTGAAAACAGCTTGTGTCTATAGATTCCCTTTGTATAGGCCCAGCCTAAGCCTTTTCTCCCCTACCCCTCCTTGCCGCAAGCCGAGGGCCGTTAGGTGTCCACTCCCTGTGCCGATCAGGTCAGACGCACATTAGTGGATGTTCCTTCTCTTCCATACCGCCCCACAGCAGGCATCAGGGACTT